CAGGATTTGCTAGCTTTAGATTGTGACAATAAACCAGGAGTAGGTTAAACGACGATTCTGGGGTCCCCCTCAACAGTTGCAAGGCATACATCTTTGCTCGCCATGCTTGGTGGTAGGAGATGCTAATATTGAACCGTTGGTTCACATCTTCTATGATTTCTTTACCACGGTACACTCTCCTACAATCCTTTAGACTGTCTGCCAGTATATGACCCAAAACCTTTTTATTCGCATTACGGTGGTTTGGGTGCACTTGGGACCTTGAACATGTGTGTTCATCATGGAGCTTGCGAACCTGAAAAATACTGGTACCATCGATGGAAACAGCCATCAAACGCCAAGAACAGTCCGAATCTGAGTGACACACCACCTCGTACCGGTGTTTGGAAGATTTCTTTACTTTCATCTGAAAGTTTTCATGAACGCACTTTAATCCCACTGCGAGCTTAAGTGATTCCTTCGAGTCAAAGGTTTGTAGAACTTTGACATGAGATGTAGGCTGGTAGGAAGTGTTTCCCTTTCTACTTTTGATAATTGGGTCCGAACAAGGTGGTGGGTCGGGCATACCCCAAAAACTATTCCTTACCGACTTGATATCTTCAGAATCGGAATTATCGTCGTCTTCGGGTATGTTCAAAATTTCGGCAGCAACAGAAACATCTTCTRCCATATCTACCTCCCACAACGGTTTTGACAGTTCGAGAGACCGGATCGGGTACGGGTTGGGAGACTGCATCGGAGGCATGTTCAAGTATTGAACAAAATAACTGTCAGGTTCAACAGTAACTTTTTGTTCAAGATATGAATTTCCAGCACCATCGTAGGGGAAGAAGGTGCTTCGATTTTCACCACATCTACTGCTAGGGAAGAAAGTGCTCTGATTTAGACCAGGAGCACAACCGGTAGGGAAGAGTGTGCTTGGACCATATGGGTTTGCAACGCTAACGTCGGGGAAGAGKGTGCTCACAACACCGGTGTAAAAAGTGTTTGAACCTCCCGGGTTTGCATTTGATGGATTTCCTTCATAACCTCCATTGTCGACAAYATATAGTGTCAACATTTCTGGTAAAGTTTGACGAATGGCGTTGTGGAGGATTACCACATCATCATCGTCCATAAACTGATATAACGTATTYGTTTTAAAAAATAAATTGAAAGGGCCACGTAAACTTAACTTTTTCGTCACATGTTTGACGACCCCAGAATACGTTATTGGCGAAGACAAACGTATTGCACATGTGGGTGAGGTAATCGGAAGGTACTCTAAAACACCATTTATATCTTGGAATAAACCGCCACTTCGAAGATACACACAAACATTATCACCTTCACGTGATTTCATGTTTTGTGATGGTTGATTATGTTTAGTGGGTTAAAGGTTATGATGGTTTATTGTGTTTAATGGGTTAAGGGTTGTGAGAGTAAAATATATGAGAAAAGAAATGGAAGGGAATGTGTGAAAAATTATGAATTAGGAGGTTGGTATTTATAGTGAAAAAAATCAATTTTTTTTTTTACCCGGATCGCCCCCGGTAAATTGCGAAATTTAAAATTAAATATGTAAAAAGACACACTTTATGTATTTTTTCCATTTTTATTAGAAACACCCCTTAATTGTTGTATAAAAATAGAGGTAAAATTTCGTCAATCAGATATTATATCTGATTTCCCATGAAAATTAATTTTTGCGTCTCCATAATTATAAAGATTTATTTTTAAATCTTTTCCTCATGAAATTTGGTTTTAAAAAAGTAAAAAAAAAAATACAACTTCAATTTAAAAAAAAAAATTCATGGGTGAACAGTACGGATCGCCCCCGTACTGTACGGATCGCCCCCGTGAATAGTACGGATCGCCCCCGGGCGAGGTCAAACACGGTCAACGAGGTGAACAATAATCTCGATTTTTGAGGAATTTTTTTTTTTACTTTTTTAAGGGGATCGCCCCCATTATCCTGGGGCGATCCGGGTGGTTATTTTGGCAAAACCTCTAAAATATGGTTATTTTGTGACAAAGGGTTGTGTAAAACGGTTATTTTTATAAATTTCCCATATTTATATATATGTATATATAAACAAACCTCCGGTGACCCCCCTCCATTCGCCCCATTAACAACTCCTTCCCCATCGTTTGCCTCATCGTAGACGATAACCCCTTCCCCTATTGCCTCCTCCACCAACGAACCTCCGGTGACCCCCTCCTTCCCCCATATTCCTCATTGAGACCCCCTCCATTCTCATATCTCAATCACCATCCATATCAACTAAACCCTTCCATCTCTAAACTTCATTTGCTATTTTATCCTCCGGTTAACCCCCTTCTTCAACCTGTAACTCCGACAACTACACCTTTGCTTTCTCTCTTCCGTTTATGGATTTTTCACCGTTTATGGCCACCCTATCTTCGACCTCTCATCTTGTCCTCCCAATTTTACAGATCTAAAATCCAATCCACCACCACCACCAGTAGTGGTTCCAGATTTGAGCAACCATGGATTTTACAACCCCTCTCTCCTTTTTTCGGCTTTCATCCAAATTCGAAATAATGCTTTATGCAACCACCATTGATATTCCCTCATCGAATAACATCTTTT